GATGCATATGGCTCCTGTCCTCAGAGCTTCCCCCGCTTAGTGGGAAGGAATATTCAAGTATATGCATACATACTCCACACTGAAGCACAGGAAGGAGCGCAGGAGCAAACCAGCAAAGCTCTCTTAATGTTTCCTCATAGAAGGCTAGTTCACCACCCAATGAACAGCCAAAGGTAAAGAGTATTTGACTAAAGACGGACCTACCATCCCAACACTCACTATCTGCACCTTACCATGTAACCCATACTCAGCTGTTTCCAGTCCCTGAAAGTTGCTCTGTCATTCCTCTGTGCCTTTATTTGTACACCTTCTTAGCCTAGAGCATCTCTACCACTTTCTCCACCTGGATTCCACATGCCCTAAATGAAATATCTCAAAAGAAATGCTTTCTTCCCACTTCTCCATGCTCTCCTTCACTGTGCATCCATGGAGTCCTGAGCAACTATGGCCCATCATAGCCCTTGTCACAGTATCCTGTCTGCTCACTTTGTTTCCATTCTCAGCATGCCTGCAAGGTACCTGAGATAAGGTGCCAAGGATCCTCTTGGAAATTTTGGCAACAACAGTGGTGCTGGAAACTATAATTTGTGGTCAACCGATATTGAAGAAGAAAATAAATTTGAGAGCAAATGGAATAACTCTTTGTGGAGTTAGTGAGCAAACAGAACCACAGTTAGTCCTCCTACTTATTAGAAGTTATTCTTAGAGTCACATTGCTCTTTAGAGTTTATCTTTGGTGTAGAATGAGTCATATAAGCTTGTTAGCAATATCGTAGAAAAAAATGTCTTCTAAAAGATTAGAGCCAGTTGGACTTCTGTTTCAATGACTCATCAGACAGCCTTAGAAACATTGTTTCTTTCTGTAATGCTACAACAGTTTTATCACTACCATAACATTGTCTAGGTTGGATAACACATATCAGTTTTCTCTTGAATTATGGTTTTCTTTTTTAAAAACTAGTTATATATGGATTAGCTTTAATACAGTTCTATTAATTCATTTCACTTGACTTTATTCTTTACTATTGCTACTGTCCCATTGCCAATATTTTCAGAACCAGGGAAGGGATCCTCTTTAAGGAAGGAGAAGGCAATTGAAGTCTATTTGCAAGTAATCAATGATAAATCTGAATATCGGTCAATCTGTATCCTGGAATTCATAATATGAGAAGTATTCCTTTTACCTTAAAGAAGGACATCTCTGGACACACTCATGTGGACTCAAATATAAGTCACATTATAGATTCTAACTTTCCTGTCTTTCTAGGGTCATAAGTTTAGTATAGTAACAATGGAATGGAGTCTGTAGTCATATTCCAATATCTGTGGAAGGCCACATGCATTTTAAGGATGATGCAAAGGGCATCTGAGTCACACAAAGCTTGATTTAACTTCCTGTGCCACTTGCCACATGGATGATGTACAGCAATTTACTTTATCTCTGTGCCTGTTATCTGTAAAATGGGATTTGAAGCACCTGTCTCATAGAGTTGTTCTGAAACATGTATATAAAAGAGTATATGTAAATGCTCATATGTGTTCATGTCAGGTACATATTAAATCTTAAAAAATGTTTATTTTTAAAAATTTCTCTCTATTCTTCCTTTCTTTTTTTTAAAGATTTTATTTATTTATTCATGAGAGACAGAGAGAGGCAGAGACAGGCAGAGGGAGAAGCAGGGTCCCTGTAGGAAGCCCGATGCAGGACTCGATCCCAGGACTCTGGAAACATAACCTGAGCCAAAGGCAAATGCTCAACCACTCAGCCACCCAGGAATCCCCAAAATGTTTATTTTTAATAAAATTATCACTTCTAAGGCTATTTTATAAAATTGTTACCTCATTAAATATTTTTTATAGTATCTCATATTATTTTAATATAAAAAAATAGTCAATTGCCATGGGCTTTTGGCACCACCATTGACATTGTAGATTTACTCTTTCTTATGTAAACTGTTTTATTTTGTTTATCACTTAGGATTTATTGCTAGCTTACTCTGTGCCAGGCACAAGTATTATTACAAAGTTGAATCACTCATAGGCCCAGAATACTGTTATTGATATTCGATAGAGTTCCTCATATGTGAAGTCCTAGGTAAAACTCTCTGGTGATTTCTTTTGGCTGAATCAATTACTTTGGAAAATTTTACTGATGTAGGCAAAGCCCAAGTTGGGGAGACAGTATTATAAAATGACTCATAAATTCAAAGAACGGCTTCAAAATTATTTTCTCCATAATATGTAGGAAGACAGATTGTGATAAGTCAGCATAAAACAAGAAAGATTTCCTCCAAAAAAATATAGACATGCCTACTTAGGCCATGAGGAATTACCTCAAGATTTTGCTTATAGATTCAGGTTGTGGGGAAGATTCTGTAGGCAACAAATCCATTTAAATGAATACTGTGTTTTGGAAAGTTGTCCACAATTTGTTTTAAGTGAATAGATAATTTTAATATACAGAAAATCTAGATATATAAACATTAAAATATGGAGGGGGTGGTGGGATTACAAGTGGATTTTTTTTTGGTGTATCTTTCTAATTTTTGATCAATAAGCATATATATCTTATGTAATAAAGGTCACATGAAAAAGAAAGTGAATGCTGTTCAAAATTTATCTGAATGAAGTTCAAGGACTTCTATGGCAGTTCATATTACCTGGTAATAAGTCATTTAAGTACTGATATAACAGTGAAAGGAGAGGTGGATTATATTTAAATATCCAAACTGAGAGATCCTTAGAAACTGCAGTGCTTGCAGGAATATTCAGCAATATCCAGGAGTACAACGTAGATGTCTACATTTATTTCCTATTCATATGGGTAAGAGCATCTTTTACAAAATATTTTAAGTTATTTTTGCCAGAACCATTGAGATTAATATGCATCCTGCAGTATTTCGGTAAAAGTTGTTATAGGGGCGCCTGGGTGGCTTAGTTGGTTAAGCACCTAACTCTTGGTTTCAGCTCAGATCATGATCTCAGGGTCCTGGAATCAAGCCCCATATCGAGCTCTGCATTCAGCAAACAGTCTGCAGGAGATTCTCTCTCTCCCTCTCCCTCTGCTCCTCCCCCTGCCCATGCACTCGCTCTCTCTCAAATAAATAAATAAAATTAAAAAATTGTCAGAAACTATGTTATTTGTTAAAATTATAAAAAAGGAGAGTCTACATGCCACTGCAAGAGAGTGACATAAAAACCTCTTGGTAAAGAATTGGTTTATCCTACTAGTAATAGGCTTGCAAAGCTTATTCTAAACCCAGAGGATTAAGAGCTAAACAAATAGAATTTTACCAAAAAATTTTTATGTTCATAAAAATGGCCACATGAAGCAGAAACTTTCAAAGAAAGTAAGCTTGTCTTGCCTTCCCATGTTAAAATTTTAGTAATTAGAATTCAAAAAACAGTACAGAGAATCACTAACTGCTTACCACAAAAGAGCAAAGCATGCCAAATGTCAGACCACAGAGTATCAGAGAACTCAACTTCTTCCTAAACCAGGTAGGATAAAGGCAATCAAAAAATAAAGAATGCTTCGTGTTTTAAAATTTGGTTTTGATTTACAGAAGCAGAATTAAAAGAGTCTTTGGTGAAATGAAGCCAGGCTACCTTGAAGGTGAACCCTCTTGGCAAGAAGCCATCAGACATTGAACTTTCAGTTACACATCAGTTAAATAGAACTCCAAGTTAGAGAGAAAAGCCAGAGGCAGCTACCTTGAAAGAGCCATCCAATAATGCCACACCTGCTAGCAAATGAATCTCAGTCTCTTGTCGATTAAAAGCTGATGTTGTTTAAGGATAAGGGAGTCTGAGGGAGAGGAAATTTACTGGGTATGCTAGGGAGGTATGGTGTGATACTGGTTTGTTCATTTTCTTGTGTGTGTGTGTGTGTGTGTGTGTGTGTGTCTGTTCTTTTCAGATATGAATCTCTCATGATTGAGGAAGTAGAGTGTAGGTTAATTCTATACTTCTTCCCTTTACTAATGTTTTGTGATTAGCCTCTGCCTTTCCCTGCCACTCTAAATACTGCTTCTCTCAACTGGCAAATTACGTGTGCTGTGAGTCACTGATCTTTCTTAGCTATTAATTCTTATTTATCCAGAAATTCATGGATAAAGAGACCCTTCCAGTAGGCAGTTCCAGCAAAGACAGGTGGCAATATTTCTAGTCTTCCATTTGTAGACTTTTCACAAGTGAGACATAGGGAAAATCCCAAACTGTTAAACACATATTTAGTGAAGTAATGGATGGTTTCCATTATTGTAGCTTCACACTGCAACAATAGAAATGAAGAGACTTAGGAGAGCAGAGTGAAACTGTGTATCAGGATTATCACATATTGAATATCGTTGTGATTAATTTATTAGAGTAGGCATGGAAGGAACTAGATTGTGGTTCTCCATGTAACTGTCCAGTCGATCTGTGCTTATGATACCAGTAACTTTAAGTATAGTAGAAACTATTATTTCTCCCTACATATCTATTTTTTTTTGCAATTCCATAAGCAGAATTTGTATTGCTGCAAATTATTTTCCAAATAGTTTTAAACCAAGTACTCTCCCATTTCCTGTCCAGAAACATGGTAATCTGATTATAAAGTCTAGCCTTCATAAAAAAGAAAGGAACATTAACATATATAAAACATACAGCAAGGCAGCCCGGGTGGCTCAGCAGTTTAGCGCCGCCTTCAGCCCAGGGCCTGATCCTGGAGTCCTGGGATCGAGTCCCACGTCGGGCTCCCTGCATGGAGCCTGCTTCTCCCTCTGCCTGTGTCTCTGTCTCTCTCTCTCCCTCTGTGTGTCTCTCATGAATGAATAAATAAAATCTTTTTAAAAACCCAGTAATTTATTTAAAAAAATAAAACATACATTAAAATATATATAAAAGAAATATTAACATATATTATCAATGTTGCTAAACTGTGTGATTTTTGTTTTTTGTTTGTTTTTTATATATATATATAAATTAACCCATTTATTGTAGGCTAGCAATGTTTCAAATGGCGGAGCTTCTATTGGTCTTTCAATTCCTTCAGTCTTCTGATGGCAGACTTTACTGTGACAGCAGAAGTGGTGTTGTAGGTCCAGGCGCCACCGGCCACGGTCTTCATGCAGGAGCCACAGTGCCAGATGCCCACCGCGCGCCTTTTCATCTTGGTCTTGCCACAGAAGGAGCAGGTGTACTTGGTGTGCTGGCTAATCTCAGTCTTCACCATCTTCCTGAGGGAGGCCCCATAGCAGTTCCCGTATCTACCCACGATTCCGACCTTCTTGGTGCGTTTGGCCATGTCGCCACCAGCCAGGTCCGAGTCCAGAGAGGACTGATTTTTGTTTTAAGGGTAGATTCTGTATTGTTCATTTGAAGAAATACTTATTGAGCATCTGTTATTTGCCAGGTAGTGGGGAATTCTGATCTCCAGGCATTTACAATTTAGTGGAGGAAATGGATAAGAGACAATAAGAATTTATGTAAAAAATGTGAACTTTAGGCAGAAGGACAATATGCTATCAAAAGTTTAGTAATTTATTGACTCACTTTTCTAAAACATATATGGTTCTACCAGATTTAGGACTAACTAGATCTAGGGGCTCAAACAATAGTATCAGGACCAAGATCTCCTTCTCTCTCTCCATCTCTCAGCTTTGTCTTCTTTGTGACAGTGTCATTCGTAGACAGCAGACTGGTTCCAACAGCTCCAAGCTTACTCCCACCAAAATAGAAACCCCATCCGGTTAGTTCCTACAGATCTCCAGTACTGGCTCTGACTGACCCTTCCTGAGTCACGTGCACTTCTGATGCAAGCAGAATTGTGCTGTGATATGCCAGTCTCACTGACTGGTCATATGGACTGAGTTAGCTATGGGTGAATCTCCAAGGAAAAAGTCAAGGTGCTACTAGCAGAAGAAATAAGAGATGTCTACCATATACGATCACTGATTATATTAAATGGTATGAGATTTTATGTCTCTATGCTGTATCAATCTCTATGTTATATCAAATATACCTATTCTGTACGTGAATATAATCTGTAAGGAGAGATCTATACTGGGCTATTCAAGATGAACATGCAGAATCACTAACTCAAACTTAAAGAGCTGTGCAGCATTCAAGTCCACCAATGAAAATCCTGAAGTGTGAGGCGGTAAGGTAGGAAACAGGAGACTGCTTCGGAAATTGAGGTGTAATAAAAGGAAATGAGGACAATGTAAAAATAGAAGAAACCGAGATGCCTGGGTGGCTCAGTGGTTGGGCGACTGCCTTTGGCTCCGGGCGTGATCCCGGAGTCCCAGGGATCGAGTCCCCACATCGGGCCCCGGGTAGGGAGCCTGTTTCTCCCTCTGCCTGTGTCTCTGCCTCTCTCTCTGTGTCTCTAGTGAATAAATAAATAAAATATTTAAAAAAAATAGGAGAAATCTTTCTATAGCGGACTCAGTATACTCCTAAATCCCTCAATCTGTTCTATGAATGTTTTAGAAATCTGTCCTACCAGCCCAGAGAGATAGTATAGATCAAATGAGCGACAATGACTTCCAAGTAATTTTAAAATTCCAAACTAAAAGAAATGTTTTTAAACTCTTTATTTTTTTTAAATCTCAAATAAACTGGACACAAGCAAGAAAGAAAAACATTTAAAAACTTGAACTCAACCCTTTCTTTTTGGAGAAGGATATTTGTTTGATTTTTCAAAAATATTGCTTGAATGATGCTCTAACATGGCAGGTCAGCTACAGAAGCAGGAAATTTATCACTAATTTATCAGTAACACATAACTGTGTTTTTCCACAGAACCAAGATGTTCTAATTGTTTCCCAGTAAATGTGTTTACTTCATTAAAGATCTATTTTCATAAGCCAGAGTCATTACTAGTCCTGGCTGCCATGAATATGCCATAAATAAAGCAAAAACTAAAGTACATTAACCAAATACTACAGTAGAAATCCAGGCTCAGGAATAGTCATGTATTAAAAAATTAAGCCAAGGTACTTATCATCATTAATATGTTCTCAAATCTTTCCAATATAGAGACTGCTTAATGTTATCTTACAAATTGCTTGCTCTCCACTGTGTACCTCACAGAGCTTTGTGTTTGTTATTATAGCATATATCATGTTGCATTTTTATAAAATTTGTTGTATACGTCATTTTCTGGTAAAGATATATAGGAGATGTCATATGCTTCTTAACACATCTGCCTTTATACCTGGACTTTGAGCTCCTTAAGGACAGAGAATAAATATCTTTTTATCCCCATAAGCCGTGTTTGGTGCCTACAATATACTTCATAAATGCTGAGTAAAATAAAGAATGAGTAAATGTTTTAATGGACCCTCCCATTTTAATGAATTCCTGAACTCCTGTTTATTATCATCTTAATTAGTTTTTATATTTTAATTGCTTCAAAGCTCAAGTCTACATACATTAACCAGCTCCTAGGTATATATACCTGCTTATAAAATTAGATTATGTTTTATGCCGAGAGTGGGGAATGACAGCTTAGTCCTAGGCCAGGTCCCTGCTGGGGTGCAGGCATGATTGGCAGTGTCTGGTTAACTCACTCACAAGACAGACCCCCCAGTTGCCTTTGAGGAAGAAGAGAATCCTGGAGGAAAAATTCTCACTATGTCTACTGCTGGGATTAGATGCATATGGATATGTTTGGCAAATTATTGAGTCTGCTCCAAAGCAGATTTTCAGGTGAGAGGGCTGTGATATCTTCTGGAAGAGAATTAATTTTAAGGGAAAATAGCCAAGCATGATAGGTCAAGCTAATGGCACATCCTTCCTTACTTTGGAAGGAAAGCAAATTCTGTGCCCAAGCAGGTGTGTTGCTTAAATTGTCTCCTCTGCCCACCTGATTAGACGCAGGGAAGGCAGAAGGATGACAGGCCAAAGCTGGAAAGACTCTCTCCATAAACTCTCTAACATTTGGGATTCTGTTTTACAGTCCTCTGAGACCCTTCAAATAGAGTGTAACACAAAGTAAGGTGGCCGTTCTGCCTCTGCCCCTTCCTCATCAGCATTTTATCATGTTCTATTACATAGTCTTCAGGGAAGAAGTTTAATCTCCTGTCTTCATGTTTTCATAGAGGAAGGGACTCTGTTCTCCTTTTTATCAGGCCTGTGGTCTTTGAAAGTAAACTTCTAGCTTCTCTCCCAGCCCCACACCCGCTTTCCCACAAAGGAGGAGCAGGAGCTCATTTCAGGGAGGATGTCCCTGTGTTGAAAGTGACTGCTCCTGCATAGATCCCTTGCTCTGCAGGACCCACACGGGAGCAGTAGACACTCAGGTTCTCTGGCTCACTTTGTTTCTGTACGAGAAAGCACAAAGGGAGAGAATCAACCTCCTACCCTTCCCTTTCTATCTCTGGTCAGCCAGTAGTAGAGTTGATGAAGCAAGCCTGCTCTAAAAGGTCATTTCTCCCTCACCTTTCCAACCCACCCCAGGCTCCAGATGGCCCCAAGGTCTGCGTTTGAGGGGGGATGGGATGAGATACTTTGGTTTTAGATCTAAATTGCATTCTTCAATCCAAAATTTACCAAATTTTGTAAGACACATTGGCCACTTGCCCAGTTCATTTAATAAATCCACAAGTGATCATCAATTAGCTATCAGTTCGTAGACTGTGTGCTTTTATCCATTGGAATCTGAAAGAGAGTCAGTGTGGATCATAACCTCCTCTTACATACATCTGAAATACTTCTCTGCCCCTGTCAAGACCCAAGGAATCAGTGGGCTGTGCCCAACACGGCAGTGGCAGAGGAGTACATATGTCCTGGAAGAGCCAGCATAAGAAGCCTGATGGAGCACTGGTGCATTTTGCCAGGAGTGGCTGTGCCTGGTGGAGCAACAGGAGCAATGGGGCATTGACGGAGGGGTTGCAGCTGCCTAGCAGGAATCTGTTCATGGTTACATGTGAGAATACAAGGTACCAACTGGTGGCTTCCAGAAATGATTTGAGGACACAGAAGCTTTACATGGCTATTGAGGACCTAAGTCATATTGGTAAAGCCAATGAAAATTAAAGTATTGTTTCAGGCGACCTCGTTCATACTCACAAACTGATGGCTTCTGGGAAAATCATGGTTACCTTTATTTTACTCTCCAGCTGAGCACTTGTCCACCAGAGCACCTTGTCTGAAACAGGCAATCAGAGTAGGTATATGAAATAATTCACTTGAAATGCTGACCATTTGCAAGCCACTATTGTTGGGAGGCATTATTGTGCTAGCTCAAGAATTTCAAATAATTTTTTGTGCATGTCTGAGTTTTGAATATGAGTGAAAAGTAAGTCTGCAAACTAGAAATGAAGGCTTACTCCTTAAAATTTTTTTTTCAAAGATGATGTCATTATCCAAAGCTGGTTCTCTATATCCTCAAGAAATTCTCTTTCTTGCCACCTCAAAACCACATGCCAGATCAAAACTGTTTGTTCTCAAAGTGAATTTCTTTTAGGTAAGTTATTATTTCAAAAGATAATGCCAAATCTGCATACAGTTTACATTTGAACTGTAAACTGTTCCAACAAGTAGATGCTACTTAATGCATCTTTTAAATTTGACTTTTGACTCACCACCTAAATATACATTAATATACACATGAATAAGCAAAAATTTTTTTGGATATTTTTTTATTGGAGTTCAGTTTGCCAACATATAGCATAACACCCAGTGCTCATCCCATCAAGTGCCCCCCTCAGTGCCCATCACCCAGTCACCCCATCATGCATAAGCAAAATTTAATGTAAAATGCATCTTTTCAGCTATAAGTATTATTGCTATAATTTTAACATTTCCTTTTTTCTCATAAGCAATCACGTATTCTCTTCCAGGTGGTAGCAATATTTGTTTCCTATTTTCATGGAAATGAAAGCTAGTATAATTCTGAAATCATGGAAAAATATTTATTTGCATATACTTTTATTTATTTATAATAATTCCTTCTATTTATTTATGATATTCATATGGTTTCTGTTCTTTTTCCTCCCAAGAGTAATGTTTATCAGTTACTCTCTGTCTCCTGATCAGTATCAGAGTCGGAGGTTTTTTAAACGTCAAATTCACATCTAAACTGGGTTTGATAAACTTTCATATCATTCATCTATTCCATGTATTTAAAATGTCATGACAAAATGACAGTGTTCTCAATATTCTAAACAATTAGGCAGTCTTTAGGTGTTTTTCCAGCTGTGATGACAAATTGACAAATAGATATTTGTTTCTACAATCCTACCCAGTAGCTTTATCTCAAAGTTAATAATAATAGTGTTCTGATCATGGAAAGGGAGT